TTGTCCATGTGGGCCAGTGGCGTATTGAGGGTGGGGCACTAAGTAATGCCACAGAAGTATAGGAGTAGTTGTGGGGCTTTTGGCATGCCCCCAGGCCTGCCCACAAATTGTGCCCCCCACCCCCAAGACTCAGGAGACACCAGTCACCCCTGTCTCTTGGTGGTGTCATTATTTTGTTAATTGGTTGCTCCATGAAGAAGAAAGCCCACATTTGAAATGATGGCATCTAGGCTACTCTGTGTGAGTGTGGCTGTGTCAACATTAATGGAAGTTATACAAACAAATATTATGGTGTCAGTACACTGTATTGTATTTAGAAATGAATCCAATTTCCATATCTGAACCTCACCAACATCCTGATTTTGGAAACTATTAGGTGCAGGCCTTTGTGGGCACAGGCCTTTGGGTCAGGCCTTTGTGGCACAGACTGTGTCTAATTGTGTCTAATTTTATCAGTTCAGGACTCCTGGGGTTTCTTCCACTTGCAACCTATGTAATTACTATGTTACTATATCTATATGAAGAAGTTTTGTACATAACCCAACATTTAGCACAAGGGTTGTCAAGCAGGGGTACACATACCCCCAGGGGTACTTAGAAAGGCTGTAAGGGGTCGCACAGGTGGGCAGGCGGGCAAGGACAGAGAGCGCCCCAGGGTGAGGTGGTGGTGTCTCCCCCAGCACATTCCTACACTTTACTTCTTACCAGTATGAAGGGGAGGGGCATGCCGGGTGTCGCCAGCCCCACACAGCGCACACACCGTACTGCCTCTCCACTCCCACCATCTCAGCTCGCTCTCTGTGCCCGCTCCCAGGGGCAGGGCCGGCTGAGTACAGCGGTGCCCCTCTGCAGACTGCACATGAATGGCCCGGCTGGCCAGGGTGAAGCTTGTATGCAGCAGTGGCTGCTTCCGCACCTCAAACCACTTTTCCATAGCTGGTTGCACATGTGGCTCCACGCTCTGCTGACAGGCAGTGCACGAGGCGCGAGGCCCATCAGCAGCCTGTGGAGACATACATGCAACTAGCCATGGGAAAGCAGTCAAGGGCATGGCAGCAGTGGCATGGGGTGGTGGCAGAGATGGCCACCACGTGCAAGGCTCCGTCCCCCATCTGTCCAGCTGGGCAGTGCATGGGCAGCCCAGAGGGGCACTGCTGCCCTCACCCGCCCCCCCCCCAGCTCTGCTCCTGAGAGTGAGCGCAGAGACACCCCCCCCCCATTGCCATTCTCAGTCTGGCCCCTGCCCCACCCCTTACCCCCGCACACACTTACCTGCTGGGGAAGGAGGGTGTCTCTGTGTGTATTTGCATCTGCGTGTGTGTGTCTGCATCTGCTTGTGTGTGCGTGTGTGTCTGTGTGTGCGTGTGAGTCTGTGTCCGTGTGTGTCTGTGTGTCTGTCTGCATCTATGTGTGTCTGCATCTGCGTGTGTGTCTGTGTCTTTGTGTGTGTGTGTGTGTGTGTGTCTGTGTCTTTGTGTGTGTCTGTCTGTCCCCTGCCTGCCCAGCAGCAGCAGGCCCATGGCATCATGCAGTTCTTGGGGCAGCGGCAGTGGGGTGCAGAGTCCAGCCTGCAACAGCAGCTCCCTCCACCCAGCACACAGATCTGGGAGGCATGTGCCCCCCAGGCCTCTGCTGAGGTGCGTGCAGTGGCAGGAGCTGCCCCCCACCCCCCGCAGCTCCACCCCACACTCTGCCCTGGCTGTGTAGTGCCTGCCCCTGCTCCAGCCCTACTCCCTCCCTCACCATGGGGGCCTCGATCTGTTTCCCCCACTCCCCACACCTTAAAAACAAGAAAAAAATATAATGGGGTACATGAGCTGAAACTTTGAGGCAGAAGAGGTACACTTGTTAAAAAAGGTTGAAAACCCCTGAATTAGCATATTAAAAACCTCTTGCTGCAGCCATTTTATAAGTTTTTCCACAAGCAGACTAGCTTTTTTTCGCTTCAAAATTACATTAATTGTACTGACTAATTACCATCACTATATCAACATTCTGTTCGTGAGAGCAAAAACTCTATTGGAAAAGTACCATTGCTACACATAGACATTTTGGCAGCAGTCTGAAAGATAAAATAGGGAATAAAAATGCAATTGTTATACAGCTTTTTCAGGGTTATTTTCTGTTCTCCTTTATTTCAGTGAAAATGCCAAGTAACTCCACTTACTCTGCATTTATACAGATAAAATTGAGGTTGGACATGAGCATAGTAATATAACTGAATAACTGAAATCTCTGCCCTTGCAAGACTGAGGATTAAAGTTTATTTTGGTGTGCAGGGAGTTGTACTAATGTGACTTATCCATATAAATCCTTGTGCACAGAAATGAGAACAGACATTCCCTTCACATGCAAACCTGGGACCATCATGGGTAAACAATGTTAGATTGTAGAGCTTTAAGACTTGATTCTCTTCATACATTTGTTTAACTCTGGAATACGGCTGCTGATTGTTATGGAGTTATATAATGCTCCAGATTTACACTAGCATAAGTGAAAGGCAAAACAGGCCCACTGGGAACCTTCTGTCTGTCTGACCCCAGTTCAGATACCATTAGCAAACACATTCTTTTTATGAAAGTCACAGGGCAAACCTTAGTTATATTATACTTTCGCTCCTACCTACATCATCCACAATTCTAGCTACACCACAGCAATATGTGCTGTAGTAAAGTATTAGCCAAAAGAGATCAATTAAGCCTTAAGGCTTTACACCTCCACCAGGCCCCTATAGTTTCCAGTTTTATTGTCTATATTATACCATTATTTGAGTGTGAGATAATAAAGCTGAAGTCTTCCTTAGGGAAATATATTCTAACCAGTTTCTGAGGCTTGCTCATAATAGAGGCCAGCATAGGTTTCATGAAGTTTTTACAAGGTGTACTCTAAATCCCTCCAGTAATTTGTGAAACATTCCATTATTTTTCATTAAAAGTAACAACAACGTATGCATTCATATATGTGTCTGTTATGAAGAACTGTTCCATGACATTTCACCACTGACTTTTGCAGACATTACAATGAAACAAAAATGAAATGCTCATCTAAAATTGTCACAAATAAGAAAATGATTTTCAGTTTGGGCCAGGTTAGAATCTATTATAGAACAAAACATTATTCCTGTTAATCCTCACAGATCTATTAACATGTTTTATAGTGGCATAAATTTTCATAAGCTTTTCATAAACCTTCATAGTGACATCAATTAAAATGTATATAATTTATCTTGTGTGAATGTAAAATAAAACCAAGAAGCTTACCAATGGGTAGCACACTATTACAAGCGTTAGTTTAAATCAGAATATGCGGAAAACACACTGAATAGTCTCATAATAATGAACTAACAAGTTTTCCAGAATGACATTTAGATGTTCAATACAATTATATTTTAATAGTCTTATAACAAAGCACTTCACTCATGCAGCACTTTATATCATCAACCCTTTAATTCTTAAAATTAGTTTTTGATACTGTATATATTTCATATGCAAAATGAATTTGACAAAAGACAAAATGCCAATTAAAATGTGTTGTTAAATCACAGAAGTCAAATGGTTCAATGTAAATGGTTTGATATAAATGGGTTGATGTAAAATGGTTCAAAACAGTCACTGAAATACGGACTAGCTACATTTCCTCTCCTTTTCTCTCTCCAAAGATGTCAGTTTTCAGAGAAAGGGGAAGCCACTCATTCAAGGCAAACAGAGAATAATTTCCCAGGGTCCCTGCACTGCCAACACTGATGCTTAAGGTGAAGCAATCTTAATAAAGCAAAAGAGGAATGTCTTTCTCTGTCTTCCTTCTTTCTAAGTCCAGTGGAGAATCCTCTTATACATACAGGAAAGTCATTTTTTCCTCCCCATAAAGCAGTTTTGCCATAAGAGGATGGTTCACTGAAACTAGAATTACAGTTTTCCATGCAGCGGTACACTGAAACGATATGACACCTTTATTCTTCTCCGTTCTTAATGAAACGGCATTGTCCCCAAATTTAGAAAAGAGAGTTCTGCTGTGTCAATGTTACATACACTAGTTTAAATTATGCTAGCCAGTCCCTCCTCCCCCTTATTTCAATGATTGAAATAAATTAAAACTAATGACCCCCGCCAACTATTCTAAGCAATAAAAAGAATACTATGGGAACAAAATGAAAACATTCTTTTCACCCAGCAATGCTTGAGGGCAACTCTAGCAAACTTCAATGGGTCAGAGATTAGTGTGCTTAAAAACTTAAATCAGGCATAAATCTAGCTCTGTTGCGAACATGAAACAAATGTGGCCATTCAGCACTGTCCTCCCAGGAAAAAAAGCCTGCTGTTTTCTGAAATAAGTCGTGTTTCTTGTTGAGGCAGCCTGATCATCGTGAATTAAGGTTTGATCATTAAAAGGGGACAGGCTCCTGGAAAGCAAAGCGTGCTGCCCGGTCAGGTTCACTGTCAGGGAGCAGAAAGTAACATTTTGGGGAAATCAGCGGCTGCTGCTTCCAGCCAAATTCATGTTCCCTTGAAATCCATGAGCAGCAAAGTGCAGATGAACCGTGCCTTGAAGTGTGCGGGGGACCCGACGGACTGCGAGTGCAAGGGAAAGCCTTGTAACTTTTGTCTTCCTATTTTGGAAGTACCTGCCTTTACCAATCAGGGTCCAGGGGAAGCTGAGGAAGGCTGTGTGGGGGGGAAGCCTCTCTCAAAACCATCTGCACCTATTTCTTCTTTATGCTCTGGCTAAATTTCCCCAGGAAACAAAAACTTGCCCCAGGGTTTTGTTCTAATCAAAAAACCTCAGCCTGAGGGGATCCGATCTCCTTTCTCTCTTTAACCCTAGGCGCTTTGCTGAGTTTCCAAACTGTGAATCAGACGTTTCTTAACCCAGGATGGGGTGTGTAAGTTTCTGATGAAAAGGGGTTTTTTGTGGCTTTTTTTTTTTTTTTTTTTTGCAATAGCCTATTTTGACATGCAGAGCTGATCCCACTCTTAACTCAGCCCGAAGTGAATGAGACTCACCATCAGCCCGAACGGAGCTCATCTGGAGGAGGAAGAAGACAGCCCCCATGCCCTGGACAGAGGTGAGAAGGAATCGCTTGGAGCCTGGAGCCATTGTCCTGCTGTTCAGATCTGGGCTGCAGGAGGCTGCTGCTGCCTTCTCTTCCTTTGAGACTCAGCAGCAGGATCAGGGGTGATGATTTCAAGGAGCACTTTCCCTCTGCAGGGTCCTGTGTCTGGGGCTTGGACTGAAGGAAAAAAGGGAGGGATGGAAAAAAAAAAGAGAGAGAGAGGAATCCTTGGCCTGGCTGTTTTAGAGGAGGGATGTGTGGGGAGAAAAATATCCAGCCAGATGAGTTTGGGGAGCAGTTTTATCTGGCCCAGTTGTGCAGGGAAGTGGACGTGGGGAGCTGGTGTGAAAAGTCACATTGCTCTGTCAGTAAATGCCTAAAGGATCAGAGTGGAAGAAATGTAAAAGCCAGGAGGGAAAGGGAGGGGGTGGGGTGGCAAGCCACAAGCAGTGGAAATCCCAGGCTAAGGGAGAAAAGGCAGCTAGATAGCTGGTGCTGAGACTGGGGGAGCTCATGGACTGATCTGCCACCTCTGGAGGCTTGGGTGTTGACTGCATTGTCGGCACCTTGAAATCATCACAGTTAGGTGCATCAGGCCAGGGCTGAAGGTGGAAGCCCAGGTCTGACATAGTCAGGAGGAGCTGTAGGTAACGAGGGCTGAGCTGGGATGAGAGAGGCTATTGCAGACCAGAAGTGAGGTGTACTGAATCCCAGTCTGGAACAGGGGTGAAGGTGTCCAAGTCAAGATAAGAAGACACCAACAGGGCCCGAATACCATTCCTAGTCAGGTTAGTATACCTGTAGGCTTCCTACACCATGTAGCATGTAAGTTCCCTGGGCAGTCTTTTCCAGGAAGGTTTACAGCTTTGCAATGAGCCCTAAATCTATGCTGTTTGCCCCCTTTTCTCAGGCACCCCAATATTTCCCCAAACGAAACTAAAAAGAAGCTCTCACAAGAAGAGGAAATGTGGATAATTTTGCCAGAATCCGTTTAACTAAATACATACACCAAATAGTTTTGTGTTGCTGTTGGAACTGAACAGAGCTCAGAAATGTTGTTTTCATATTCTCATCCTTTTTTGCTTTTCTTTTGGCTTCTTAAAATTTTTCCCCTGGAAATATGAGGCCGGTCAGCAAGTCAGTCTGCTAGAGAATCTGAGCCATGGAGAAGAGAAACAGCAGGCTCAGGTTGCTTTCACGCTGGTCCTTCCCCTCTCATTCTCTGCTCCCCACTTCATAAATGGGGTGTGCTGATATCCCCAGGCGTTCTTTGCTATTATTGAACTGCAGGATGTTTTTCTCAGTCTGCTTGAAATGACGCAGGATCAGGAATCTGTGTGTGTGGTATTCAAGCAATACAGTGGTGCTGGATACCTGAGATATGCCTAAAATAGAATAGATTTGATAGCTCTATAGATAATGTTGGAATTTTTGAAAGCCATCAGAATTAGGCCTCTTCTCTCTCTCTCTCTCTCTCTCTCTCTCTCTGTGTACACGGTATGTAAACTTTAACTCTGCAAGGGTTTGGGGCTGATAGCTTTGAAGTCTCCCATCTACCCATAGACAATGCACAACAGCAAATTTCCTCATGCTGTCCTGCCAATCTGTCTCAAACCTAAATTGGAGAGTCCACTTTCAGGGTTATAAGATGAGAGAATTTCTGGCCCATTCCATTCATGACCTAAGGTGATAGGTCTATATAATTATATAAAAAAATTATTATGAAAAATGCATGCTATGTGTAACCCATAGTTACATGCAATGGGACAGGAAAGGAAATACAAAAGAAATAATGGATCTCTTTGAAAATATTCATTTATTTCTTTTACTAGTGGCATAGCTACTCGAATAAAATTTAAATGAGATTTACAATTAAAAAACCTGAACCAGTTAGAAGATGGATTCTGTGAATTTGTCTAATTTGTTACAGTGCGTACACAAAGCAATGGGCACAGACTTTAACATGGACATAAAAACAGACAGAAACATTGACGGGAATGTCCTTGCCAGTACTTTGTTGTCCCTCCCGCTCCCTCCTCCACACCTGCTGGCCTCTGAATTTATCACCAGTGGTTACGGGAAATGTACACGAAAAGAACATGATTCGTTGGATTGCATCTAATATTCCAGATGGCCATACGATTTGTTTTGCTATGATTTGATCATTATGTTGTGTTAGCATGTATCGAGAGAGACTTCTATTCTGGCTCCTGTTTCTGAAAATCTTGTTCATTTTTCTTGAGTAGAACACCTTATACCTCTAACATCAAATGAACAAAATCAGAGAATTCCTGCTTTCTTGAAGACTTTCACATAATAGTTCCAGGAGTTCTGGAGATATAAACTGGGTACAGAAATGAGCCAGCCACATCTTCCAATTAAATCTCAGTTGTTAATATATGGCAAGGGGACATTATTAAACTTTATTGCCAAGCAGTTTCCTTTTAATAAGATATCTGTCCCAAGAATAGTCCCTTATTAGTACAGAACTTGTGACCAGTAAACATGGAGACATTAATGGTTTGTACTGAAATTATACAAACTTAAGCATTTACATAGTATCAATATTAACCAAGGTCAAACCAGTCATTTTTGATGAATTTTACTTTAAGTTTGAGTTCACTGGAACCCAAAACTCAAAATGGAAATAGGAAGGTGTTAAGATGGATGGAAACTATAACAACTGTTTGCACAAAATCTGAGTTGCATGCAGCTGTAGTAATAACGTATTGGTCAAACTATACACTGCATAAATGTACAATATACCGTAATACAGTCTACAAAAGACTAATTGTTTTTTGTAATTTTATACAACTCATAGATCATGTCTGCTTAAGGAAGAGCGAATGTGTTAAGGGTGATATTTTATAACTCATTCTGTTTATATTCACTGTGGACTTTTATTTAAGGAATAAGACATGTGAAAGTGCTGGGTCATAAAATATGTACACCCACACCTCTGATGCACTGTGAAGCACAAGGCCTAATGGTTTGTGCCTTTAGCACCTGAGCAGTGTGCACAGACATTTATGATCATATACCTTGAAATGTGTTATTCCACTTACAATCCTGGCTGTTTTATTACATAAAGCACAACAGTGTTAATGTAAATAGACAGATACAAAAGCTATTTGAACAGAGAAACATAGTTGAATACATTTAGGAATGAATAGGTGTAAAATATCAAGAGTTGTTAAATCTCATCTCATGTATCTAATACTTATTTCCTAAAATATTTTCTTTCTTTCACTGCAGTCTGACTAAATACAAATATATTACAGGCTTAAAGCCCATTTAAGGCCCTCATGCTCATATGTAAGTATTTGCAGACTAAGTCTCCTCAAAATCAGGACCCAATGATCATAAGGCTGTCAGTCTAAAGATACTTTCATTAATACTGGCTGCTGCAACCCAAGATGGACAGATGCTAGCAAATTTCTTCAAGTACTGCAGCTGGAAAAGAATATGGTTGTTGAACATTGCTGCAAAGCCAAGAAGAAAGTTACTTTTCAGATCAGAATATGCTACGGTAAAATGAAGAAACTTGTTTCAGTTTTAAAAAATATATATCCCCTCTTTTTTTAATGAGACATGAACTTCCATTTAATACATGGTTTCTTCTCAAAATGCAATCATTTGAAATTCTGGTAGTCAAAACAATTCAGTTTGGAGAATTTAATCTGTGTCCTCTTAATAAGTCTGTGATAGTTTTATACTACTTTTTAAAGTTATTTGTATGTGTAGTGATATAAGAGAAGGCATTATAACCAATTTTGACAAAGGAATTCCAACGAATAAGGTCACTGAGATTTATACATGAAGCTTTGAACCTCTAAAGTGCTTCCCATATTTTCTGTTTAATCTGAAAAGAAGAGCTCACTAGACAGAAACATTAGTTGGCAACTATAAAATTAACTGGAAAAAAATACCTCATCAAATATCACCACCTAAGGAATTAACTACTGCATAAAACTACAGATTTAAATAATGATGTTGGCTAGCTTTACTACCAATGGTACTATTTGCAGTTATCAGCGTTTAGGTCAAGGTAATCAAAATTATAATAGAGGTCTAAGTTATTAGCTGATAGGTGCATATGTACAGTAATGAAGGAATTGTTTTACCATATAATGTTCTGAGAAATATACTGTTTTGAGTGGGTGATGGGAGGGGGGGACAAACAGGAGGGCATAACCTTTCCAGCCCTCAGTTTCCCCTTCTGTAAATGAGGGTAACCATCTTTGTAGAGCATTTTGAGACACTCATAGAAACATAGAGATGTAGGGCTGAAAGGGACCTCCAGAGGTCATCTAGTTCGAAACCCTTTCTGAAGCAAGATCATCCCTATCCAAACCATCCCATAAAAACCATAATCTAAACCCTACATATGACTACCATCAACCCTGACACAACTCAGACACAACACCCTAACCTGCCACAGGTAAAGCAGGGGAACCATGGCAGCCAACATCTTGTTTCTATCAAGTGTTGTCAATATATGCTCAAGAGATCCTGGACAGAGGGCCATGCCCCCCCACTACACAGGAATACAAAACCCCCCAGAGTCTGTACCAATCTGACCAGGGGGTAAAATTCCTTCCTGCCCCAAATACGGTGATTGGGGGCCAGACCACCTAACCAGGAACCTCCTGGTTTTGGTTCCAGCAAGAAACATTGGCACACCCCAGTCAAAGTCCCCAGCCTTGGCTATAGCCTTTAAGAAAGACTAAAAAACACCCTGACACGTGTAGCAGAAAGGAGAGGGCAGGGGTAACCAGCAAAACCCAGAAATACCCATAGTAGAACATAGGCATAGCTACACCTAGATCATCCTCAACCAGTGGCTGTCCAACCTCTTCTTGAATACCTCCAGCAATAGAGTCCACAACTTTCCCAGGCAATCTATTCCACTGCCGCACTACTATAACAGTAAAAAAGTTTTTTTTCTGGATATCCAGTCTAAACTTATTTTGTTACAACTTCAAGCCATCACATCCTCCTCTCCTCAGTAAGAGAGCAAAGGGACTTTCCCTCTTTTTATGCC